GAGGTTGCAGTGAGCCGAGATCACGGTATTGCACTCCAGCCTGGGCGACAAAGCAAAACTCTGCCCTCGCCACAAAAAAAAAAAAGAAAAAAAAAACAAGCGGCGAGGTTTCCTGGGCCCCTCCCTTGGTGGAGACCCAAGCCCCTGCAGCCTCACCTGCCCTCCTCCCTGCTTTCCGCCCATTCTCAACCTCACTAAGTCCTTCCCGCCACAGGGCTGTGACTGAGCCTGTCCCCAACCTGGAGTGCTCTTCTCTGCTCTCTGGGGATGGCACATAGACCCTGTCCCAGCCGCTCCTAGAATATGGCTGTGCCACTTCCCTCCCAGCGTATGCCACCTTCTGAGGATGTCTGCTTCATTCAGGTGCACCAGTGCTCTCCTGTCCCCATTAAAACCATGCTGACTCCCCAACAACACAGCCCCAGTATGCCCTGTACCATGCAGGAGCCCCAGCACCCCACCGTCTCTGAGACATGCCAGGCAATGAAAAGTGTCATTTGATGACATGAACACACTGCCCCAACTTTACAAATCGGGATTCTATGGCCCAGGGGGGTAAGAAACCCACCCAAACTCACACAGCAGAGCGCCACAGCTTTCCCTACCTGTCAAGCCTAAGAATGGGAGGGAACACCCGCACACCCACCCCTAGGCCCCAAGACCTGCAAACAGTCTCCCGGCTTTACGTGTTGTCCCCCCACCCAACACGCCCCTTGGGTGCTTGTGCCCTGGTGAAGTCCTTGACCTCATCTAGCCAAACATCTGCAGACTGGCCTTCCACAGCTGCAAGACACATCAGGTACCATCACCACGGGTGACTGTGAACGGACACCTGAGTGACATACCGTCCTTTGGAATTCACAGGAGAGGAGCCAGTGCCGACTGAGCCATGCCTCACCTGGCTGCAGGTGCGGGCCAACCCCTGGTGGCTACAGTCTGAGGAGGCAGCGTGCCATGGCTGCAGCCACAGAGGGAGGGCAGAAGGGAAGCCTGCATCATGTCGGTTCATTCTGCTCCGGGCACTGTGGACATGCCACTTGGCCTGTGAGCGGCCCGTCAAGCTGGGAATAAGCTTGCCCACTCTGGTGGCAGCCTGCCCAGAGATGGCACAGCCCATTCAGGTGGGTGCAAAGGATGGAACTCTACCTGCCCAGGTGCAAAGCTCACACCCTGGCCCACCTCACTGTGACACCTCTAATCAAAAGTTTCTCAGCCTTGGCTGGGCATAGTGGCTCCCACCTGTAATCCCAGCAATTTGGGAGGCCAAGGCAGCTGGATCACGAGGTCAGGAGTTTGAGACCAACCTGGCCAACACAGTGAAACCCCGTCTCTACGAAAAATACCAAAATTAGCCAGGCATGGTGGCAAGTACCTGTAATCCCAGCTATTCGGGAGGCTGAGGCAGGAGAACGGCTTGAACCCAGGAGGCAGAGGTTGCAGTGAACCAAGATGGTGCCACTGCACTCTAGCCTGGGTGACAGACCAAGAGTCTGCCTCAAAAGAAAAAAAAAAGAGTTTCTCAGCCTTGGCACTGCCGACATCTGGGGCCAGACTGCTCCACATGGTGGGGCCATACTGTGCATTGCAGGGTGTTGGGCGGCATCCCCATCCTCCACCCACAAGATTAGGAACACCCCCTAATCACGATGACCCAAGATGTCTCCAGACATCACCAAGTGTCCCCTGGGGACAGAATTCCCCCTGCCCCAGATAGAGAACACCGCTTTTTGTCTAAAAATCGAGTGCAGGCTCACGTCTGCCCAGAGCCCCTGCTCCTCCGACCCCAGGAGATGAGGAAGACGGGAAATGGAAAGCATCTTCTTTCAGGGCTGAAAGAACTGCCATCTGCATATCTTCAGAATCTCTTCTTTTTTTTTTTTTTCTTGAGACAGAGTCTCACTCTTGTCCCCCAAGCTGGAGTGCAATGGCACAACCTCAGCTCACAGCAACCTCCGCCTCCCAGGTTCAAGCCATTCTCCTGCCTCAGCCTCCCAAGTCGCTGAGACTACAGGCGCGTGCCACCATGCCTGGCTAATTTTTGTATTTTTAGTAGAGACGGGGTTTCACCATGTTGGCCAGGCTGGCCTCGATCTCCTGACCTCGTGATCTGCCCACCTCGGCCTCCCAAAGTGCTGGGATCACGGGCGTGAGCCACTGCCCCCAGCCTTCTTTTGAGACAGAGTCTCACTCTGTTGCCCAAGCTGGAGTACAGTGGCGTGATCTCAGCTCACCCCAAACCCGGCCTCCTGGGTTTAAGTGATTCTCCTGCCTCAGCCCCACAAGTAGCTGGGATTACAGGCCTGTGCTACCACGCCCAACTAATTTTTGTATTTTTAGTAGAGACAGGGTTTCACCATGCTGGCCAGGCTGGTCTCAAACTCCTGACCTCAGGTGATCCACCCTCCTGGGCCTTCCAAAGCTCTGGGATTATAGGCGTGAGCCACCGTGCGCAGCCTCAGAATTTTTTCTAAATTCATTGATTGTTGAGCGGATAAACAAATACAACATATCCATACAATGAAATATTACTTGGCCATGAAAAGGAACAAAGCACTGATCCATGATATTACAGAGATGAGCCTCGAAACATGATGCTGAGTGAAAGATGCCGGTCACAAATGCCACGTGTTCATGATTCCATTTATACAAAATGCCCAAAATAGGCAAACCCACAGCAACAGAAGACGACTCAGTGGTTGCCAGGGACTGGGGGAGGGGGAATGGGGAGAGACTGTTAATGGGGATGGTGTTTCTTTTTGGATGGATAAAAAATGTTCTGGAATTACAAAATAGCGATGGTTGCACAACTCTGTGAATTTACTAACAACCACCAAACTACACACTTTAAACAAGTAAATTGTATTATGTGTGAATCATATCTCAATAAAGCTGTTATTTTAAAAAAGATCTTTTCAACCAACAATAATCTATGTCCAATCCCAGGCAGAAACTGAACTTCCAATCACGATGACACCCGTGAAACTACTGTGACCCATTTCTTCCAGTCACGCTGCAAACATTTGACACCAACTGCATGCTAGCACACACCAGGTACCGGAGACCAGAAGTGGCCACTCCCACCTCAGGAGCCCTGATATGTGGGGGACATTTATGTGGAAGGATGCTCAAGCTGCACGTTTTTTTTTTTTTTGAGACGGAGTTTCACTCTTGTCAACTAGGCTGGAGTGCAGTGGCGTGATCTCGGCTCACTGCAACCTCCACCTTCCAGATTCAAGTGATTCTCCTGCCTCAGTCTCCCGAGTAGCTGGGATTACAGGGGCCTACCACCACATCCAGCTAATTTTCATATTTTTAGTAGAGATGGGGTTTCACCATGTTGGCCAGGCTGGTCTCAAACTCCTGACCTCAGGTGATCTGCCTGCCTCAGCCTTCCAAAGTGCTAGGATTATAGGCGTGAGCCATGGCGTCCTGCCATCTTCTTATTGTTTTTCATTCATTCATTCATTCATTCAACCACCAGCCATCTCTTTCTCTACATTCTGAGCAAGAACGTAGCTGCTTGGTGCTGCGGGGACAGATGTGCACGCTCACCAAGCATGCCTAAAGCGGTACCTGGCTGACAGCAAGCACCCAATCATTACTAACAGAGAAATGAAGACACAAATCCTAGTCTATAAGGTTACAATGTTTCAGAGAAACAAACAACTAGTTAGGAAATCAGGCAACCTCAAAGTGCTACCTGAGGAATTGGAGACTGAGGTTAAGTCTACCTGAGCCAGTCACATCAGAGTCCAAATCCAGAAACCAGGAATATGAGTGCCTGCAAAGCCCACCCAAATCCTCCCCAATGCCCCAGGGTGCAGGAGAGAGGTCTCACCACACTGCAAGAACAACGTGGAAATTCAGCAACACCTTTGCAAAGTGTGCTCACCGCCTTGACCCAGGAGCAAGGTCTTGCTAGAATGCTTGACAAGGGAAGAAACTGAGGGCGGAGGAGCTCGGGTGCCTTGCCGTGCTCACACACCAGCCCCAATCAAGCCACTGCTCCTGGCCCACAGCAACTTCCCAGGTGAGATTTGCACGGTATCTGCTCTGCCAACCAGAAGCCTGGCAGAAGTTGGCCTGCCCCTATACACAACAAATGCACCCAGCCACCTGAGGCAGATCTGGCCCTCCTCCCTGGTCCTGAGAGGGCAGGGGCCATCTGTGGTCAGTGTCCCCTGTTCCACTGGGAGGAACATCACCTGGTCCCCACCATATGGGCTTCATGGAGAAGGGGCAGCTGTCTCCACTCCAAGTTCCAGAACTGAGCACAATCTGCCTTCTTGGCCCCCCTCTAAACCCCCCGGGGGACAGGATCTGACCATTCCCTCAGCTGTCCAAGAGGGAGAGATCCCTGTCCCACCTCAGGTCTGCAAGTGGGGACATGTGTTCCTCCTTCAACAGCCAGGGAGTAAAGGCACAGGTAACAATGATGTAGAGACACCGGTCTCTCTCGGGTAGCAAGGATGGGAGGGCATCTGTCCCTCCCATGTAGCAAGGATGTGGGGGCGCTTGCACTCTCACCCCCAGGTACCAATGGTGCTTGCAAGAAGCATCCAGCTCATACACCTGTGTCATCCTGGCTCATGTAGCAATAATGAGGGGGCACCTGCCCCTTCCAGGTAGTAATGATGTGGGGCACCTGTCCTCCTTGGGTAGCAGTGATGTAGGGACACCTGTCCCCTGCAGGTAGCAACGAGGTCCTGGCACCTGCTCCCTCCTAGTAGTAATGATGTAAAGGCCCCTATCTCCTCCGAGGAGCAGTAATGTGGGGCACCTGTACCCCATCAGGTATGGATGATGTGGGGTCACCTGTCCCGCCCACGACGCCCGGGGCGTGGGGACACCTGTCCCCATCGGGCCGCGCCAAGCCCCGCCCCCGCCGCGCGCGCCCCGCCCCCGCCGCGCGCCCCCCCCCCGCCCCGTGCACACGCCGGACACGCGCCCCCTCCCTCTCTCCGCCGGCCCTGAAGGGTCGCCGCGGGCAGTCCCCTTACCCGCGCGGCCCGCGTCAGGCTCAGGTCCTTCATGACCTCCTCGAAGGCCGCCGTCTCCTCCGCCTGCTTCTGATTGTGCAGCGCGATCTTCTCGCTGAATTTCCGCGGATTGTTCGAAGTCGCCATCTTCTCGCCGCCGCCTCCTCCTCCTCCTCCTCCTCCTCCTCCACCTCCTCGCCCCCCCACTCGCCCGCGCCAACGCGCAAGCGCCGGCTGGGCCCACGGGCGGCGAGCAGTGCGCAGGCGCGCTGGTGGTTGTGAGCGCGGCGCAGGCGCACGGGAGCGGCGCGCGGCGCGGGGGCGAAGGCGCATGCGCGCGCCCCGGCGGCGCGCTCCGGGCCAGCGGGGAGGGCAGTGGGGCGCCAGTGGAAATTTCAGCGCCGGCGCAGTGATCCGCCTCCTGGCCCGCTGGACAGCGGCCGCCTGGCTGTTGGACAAGGACCGCTAACCGGCTGGGGCACTGGAGCCCCCAAGAGGGAGACAGCCTGACCCAGACCCTCCCAATTCACAAGGGTGGGGCCAGGCACCCCCCCTGAAGATTGGTAGCACCCCGAGGTTGAATTTGGGTTTGAACTAAAAGCTCTGAAAACAGACTAGGGCGTTGGTCATTCATGCATTCATTCATTCAAGGAATATTTGCTGAGCACCTAGTATGTGCCAAACTGGGGTACAGGTGTGAACAAGCAGACGTGATCCCTGTCCTTATGGAGTGTAGAGTCAGAGAGGGGCAGAGATAACACACAACCAAGAACTTTTCAGATGGAGATAAATGTGATGTGGTAAATAAGACCAGTGGCCAGCCAGAGAAGGACGTTAAGTAGGGAGGCTCCTGCAGCCACCACAGACAGGGAACCAGGAAGTTATCTTAGCTAAGACCTGAACCCGGCAATCGGCCCCTCAGTCCATAAACCTGGTGGATGCCTGGTTGCCTTTAGTGACTTTTTTTTTCCTTGAGACAGAGTTTCACCCCTGTTGCCCAGACTGCAGTGCAGTGGCACAGTCTCCGCTCACTGGAACCTCCTCCTCCTGGGTTCAAGGAATTCTGCCTCAGCCTCCTGAGTAGCTAGGATTACAGGCACACACTACCACGCCGGCTAATCTTTGTATTTTTCGTATATACAGAGTTTCACCATGTTGGCCAGACTGGTCTCGAACTCCTAACCTCAGGTGATCCACCCTCCTCGGTCTCCCTAAGTGCTGGGACTACAGGCGTGAGTCACCGTGCCCGGCCAACGACTTTCTTCTCCCGTTCCCTTGCAATGGGTATGTTGCTGTTCTCTGGATACCTGAGCCCAAAGAAGTGGGTTACAGAGCTTCAGCCTTCCCTTTGCATACTTCTCCAGTCCAGTCTTGTTCAAGGATCTCTATTTTGCAACAAGGTGCTAACAGAATGGTCCAGAAATCCCATCTAAACTCAGCAGGGAAGGAAGGAGCAGAGACTTTCCAATGGCAGGGTGGTGAGCCAGGGAAGCAGGAGGGACTCTGACCCTCCCTTCCTCAAGAGAGGGACACTCAACCACCAGTATTGAAAGTTTATATTCAGGGGGCTGCAAGGATTTCAGAGCACCGGCTGGGTGGAAGCTAGGAAGGTCAGCTGGGGAAATTCACAGCGGCTGTAATTGCACAATAGGCACAATTTTTATTGGACCGAGGGATGGCTGGAGGGGAGGCTGACATTTTCCAAACATGCTTTGATTCACGCTTTACAAGTAATAAAACATCCATGTTAAATATGTATATATGTATACACAAACACACACACATCGATTTTCATTTGGAGTGCCTTGGACATTGCTACTGCCCTCATTTTTCTTTTGAGACGGAGTCTCACACTGTCACCCAGGCTGGAGTACAGCGGCGCAATCTCGGCTCACTGCAACCTCCAACTCTTGACTTCAAGCAATTCACCTACCTAAGCTTCCCAAGTAGCCGGGATTACAGGCATGCACCATGATGTCCAGATAATTTTTGTGGATTTTTTTCTTTTTTTTGAGATGGAGTCTCTATTGCCCAGGCTGGAACTCAGCTCACTGCAACCCCTGCCTCCCAGGTTCAAGTGATTCTCCCACCTCAGCCTCCCAAGTAGCTGCACTTCAGGAGGTAGAGGCAGGCAGATCACCTGAGGTCAGGAGTTTGAGACCTTTCTGGCCAACATGGTGAGAAACCCCGTCTCTTTTTTTTTTTTTCAAGACGGGGTTTCACCATGTTGGTCAAGCTGGTCTTGAACTCCCGACCTCAGGTGATCCACCCGCCTTGGCCTCCAAAGTGCTTGGATTACAGGCAAGAGCCACCACGCCCGGCCGGTGAAACACCGTCCCTACTAAAAATACAAAAAAAAGTTGCCAGGTATGGTGGCACACACCTGTAATCCCAGCTACTTGGAGGCTAAGGCAGGAGAATCACTTGAACCCTGGAGGTAGAGGTTGCAGTGAGCCGAGATCATGCCATTGCACTCCAGCTTGAGTGACAGAGTGAGACTTCATTTCAAAAAAAAAAATTAGTTCAGCTAGGCCAAAAGACTTGACCCACACAGAGGAAAACAGAGCCAGGCCGGGCACGGTGGCTTACAGCTGTAATCCCAGCTTTGGGAGGCACAGGTGAATGGATCACTTGAGGTCAGGAGCTTGAGACCAGGCTGGCCAATGCAGTGAAAACCTATCTCTACTTAAAATACCAAATTAGCCGGGCACAGTGGCACATACCTGCAATCTTAGCTACTTGGGAAGCTGAGGCAGGAGAATGGCTTGAACCCGAGACACAGAGGTTGCAGTGAGCGGAGATAACACCACAGCACTCCAGCCTGAGCTTCTAGATCCAGCCATGCCTGAAGTTAGACTCACCTGCCTTTTCAGTTATATGAGCCAAACTTTTGTTCCCTTTTTTGCTTGTCTATTTGTTTTCTTGTTTCTTTGCTTTTTCAGACAGGGTCTCACTTTGTCCCATAGGCTGGAATGCAGTGATGTGATCATGCTCACTGCAACCCCAACCCTTAGGCTCAGGGAATCCTCCCACCTCAACCTTTCAGATAGCTGGGACTACAGATGTGTACCATCACACCTGGCTAATGTTTTGTGTTTTTTGTAGAGACAGGGTTTCACCATGCTGCCCAGCCTGGTCTCAAACTCCTGGGCTCAAGTGATCCGCCCCCGTTAGCCTTCCAAAGTGCTGAGATTATAGGTGTGCACCACCATGCCTGGCCTGCCTAAATCTATTTCAAGTCCTTTTTCTGTTCCTGTTACTGACAGAGACTGCAGCTTCTGTGAGTCAGATTGAGACTGGGCCTGCTACATAAGTGGCTTCTAGTTCGTTTTTGGTTTTTTTTTGAGACAGAGTCTCGCTCCATCACCAGGCACCAGGCTGGAGTGCAATGGCGCGATCTCGGCCCACTGCAACCTCCGCCGCCCTGGTTCAAGCAATTCCCCTGCCTCAGCCTCCTGAGTAGCTGGGACTACAGGCACGCGCCACCATGCCCAGCTAATTTTTGTATTTTTAGTAGAGACGGGGTTTCACTATGTTGGCCAGGATGGTCTCGATCTCTTGACCTCGTGATCCGCCCACCTCGGCCTCCCAAAGTGCTGGGATTACAGGCGTGAGCCACCACGCCCCGCCAGCTTCTAGTTCTTGACAACATCCTATGAAGTCAGAGAAGAAATAAAGACAGAGAGCAGGGACAGCCACTGTCCCTAGCAATTTATGCACCAGAACTGAGACTTCACAGCTAACCTCAGCCACTTCTACACACTGAGTTTTGTAGACTTTCAGTGAAGTTAATAAGTGTCAATTGCCTTGCTCCTAAGAAATGCTCCATAAATGATGCCACTTACCCTGATCACTTACATATATCTTTTTTTCTTCTTCGAGACACAGTTTCACTCCGTCACCCAAGCTGGAGTGCAGTGGTGTGATCTTGGCTCACTGCAACCTCTGCCTCCCAGGTTCAAGCAATTCTCCTTCTACCTCAGCCTCCCGAGTAGCTGAGATTACAGGTGGGCACGAGGATGCCCAGCTAATTTTTTTTTTTTGAGATGGAGTCTCGCTCTGTCGCCCAGGCTGGAGTGCAGTGTCAAGATCTCGGCCTCTACCTCCCCGATTCAAGCAATTCTTCTGCCTCAGCCTCCCAAGTAGCTGTGACTACAGGCGTAGGCCACCATGCCTGGCTAATTTTTGTGTTTTTATTAAAGACAGGGTTTCACCATGTTGGCCAGGTTGCTCTCGATCTCCTGAACTCAAGTGATCCTCCTGCCTCAGCTTCCCTAAGTGCTGGGATTATAGGCATGAGCCGCCATGTCCGGCCCTGCAGGCTTTAAATTATGTTAATATGTGTCAACTGCCTCACTCCTAAGAGGTGCCCCATAAATGCCATTTACCCTGATCACTTACATATTTCTGCCCTAAGCCAGTTTCCAGGCATAGGAAGACGGAAAAGAAAAGATTTGGGGGGCTAGCAGGGGTCCTGAGGTCACAGCAAGGAGCCATCTGGCCATGTGTGGAAGAGAGTCTGGTGCTTTTCCTATTCACCCCCATTCACCCCGAGGCCTCCCTCCGTGAAACTTGATCCATCCTAAACCTTGGTGATGAGTCAGAGGAAGCAGCCAGCCTGCTCATTGTGCAATGGCCAGACAGCAGCCCAAGCCCCGCTCCTTGCTCCACTGACCCCCAGCCCTGAGAAGGGCAAGGCTTCAGTGTCCAGTGATTGGGGCAGAATCCAGCCCTGAGGTTTTCACTTTCTTCCTTCATCAAAGAAAGTTGCTGTCACCCAGTGTGGTCCAATGCTGCTCCTCACAGCAGCCCCGCAGGCTTTGCCAAGCAGGGCAGATCCCACACTCCCCTGGCACTTAAAAATCTAAAGGCTGAGGCCGGGTGCGGTGGCTCAAGCCTGTAATCCCAGCACTTTGGGAGGCCGAGGCGGGTGGATCACAAGGTCAAGAGATCAAGACCATCCTGGTCAACATGGTGAAACCCCGTCTCTAC